GAAAATTAATCGAGACTCTCTCCATCAGATCAGGACAGTTGAAGGCTATGCATGTGGCCTCATTTGTCCAAAGTACGACAGCCTCAGTTTGGTCATTTTGGCTTCTTGCAAGAGTTTAGGCTTGATTTGCTCTCTGGCTCATTGATTTGTCTTTTTGGTTTCACCGTTTCTGATTTACATGATCCGTCTCTGATGAATCTCTGACTTGAGGTGGGTTTTGATGCAGAGAGAGATGGATGTATTTCCCAGACCGTGGAAAATTCACTCAAGTGCCCTTTAGCCTTGCAGGGCCGTAGCCTGTATGCACAGGACAAAACAAACAGCCAGTGCACACACAGAGTTCCTGTCCCACACCCAAGAGAAAAGATGTGCTCACTTTCCTGGCAGCCTTTCCTCACCATTGCAGGAGTTGGCTGGCTGAGGCACAAGTCCTCTTGGAGCTTCTATCTTAAAGCTATCTTCCTTCTTCCCAAATATTAACGGTGCATCTAGGATCAGGGACTGTATACCTCATCTGATGAATTTCACTCCATAGCCTCAGCGGGTCCTCATACACTTTTCATAAGATGTCGTTCCACAAGCATATGATCCATCCTACAAACAAAGGTGGGAAAACTTACCTTGTGGACTACAACTCCCAGAATCCCCCAGAAAGCATGACAATGGTGGTTGGGGTCTCTGGGAACTATAGCACAAATAAGTAACATTTGCAAGCTTTGCCCACATCCCATTCCTTCTGTTCCTTCAAAGTGCATTATTTCTGCAGTGCAGATGCAGCCGTAATCTGGAATATCAGTATGCAAAGAGATCTTCTAGCACCTTTGAGACTCTTAAGTGATTGAAAGAAGTTGTGGCATGATCTTTTGTAGACTTGGTTGACTTTGTCAGATGCGTGGAGTGTTGCCCAGGAAGGACCTTTATAATAAGACTATAATAAGAAGATGCTCCTGGCCAGTTTAACATGCTTCCTTTTGGGTTCCCAACCTGGACAAACTACACTTCAAAACTCTCTCTCCTGTTCATATGGCCATCCACTTGCTCTGGCCTTAGGCAACATCTTCCCTCTTGCCTTTGTCCCTCAAGATCCAAAGTTAAAACTGAACTTGTCACCCCATCACCATACCCAGAGGCTTTGCATTTCTATGACTAGTCATACAGTCTAGTTTTAAAGGTCCTCTGGGTCCCAGTTGATGCCATGCATCTGAGAAAGTACACAAAATCTATGAAAGCTTATGCTACAACTTATTTTGCCCAGTAAGTTTCAAAGGTGCTACAAGACCCCTTTACATACAGGGGCATAAATGTGACTTGCACCACCACAAATCACTTTTTGGGTTGTTGGGGAGGCCAGAATTCTGTTCCAAGGACCAAAATCCCCGCACAATCCTACCTTGTAAGCTGCATGCCCCCTCTTCCCAAACATGGCCATGTCCATCTTATCAGACACGCAGGGGTACGAGCACAGAGCGGCAAAAGGAAGGAAATACAGATGCAAAATAAATATGCAAAAAAACAAACAACCCCATAGGCATTTATTATTATAAGATTTTACTTTGAAGTCGGAATTGGTACATTACTACAAACTCCACAGCGCTGGTTCCTGCCACCATCATGGTAGTGAATTTTGGTAATAGCGGCAGTGTGGACCCTGTGTCCCACAAAAGCCGCCAAGGGACCCACATGGCCCAGAGCTTCGGAGTTGTCTGCATCTACACTAGAGCGGACGGCCAACCGCACATACTGTATACACCTGCCTACTTTAGATCTCTTTCATCCTGGATACTAATGAATAAAGCTGTTGCCTTCGCCATCTGTGCTGTTCCTTTGTTTCTAGGGAGGGGAAGATAAGGAGAGGGCATGTCTTTCGACCAGGTACGTGAGTGAGGGGGGGAACAAGGCCTCTGGTCCACCTCCACCCACCCAGCACCCATCACCCTAGAGATCATTCCTAATGCCACCTGCGTTGTTGCTTTCCGACCTGCAGCTATGGTGGTACCCGCCCAACCAGCCATGACACGATGGCCGGGGGCATGGTTACTTTTTAATCCTCTTCTCCGTTAATCATCTACCTACCTCTCACCTCCAGAACAGGTTTGTTGCTCTGAGCCAAGAGACGTATTAAAAAAAACAAAACCAAGGGCTTCAACATGGAAACACACCCACACATTCCAATATATCCACACACTTTTACTCATTCACGGCTGGCTGCTTCGTGAACCTCCGTCTTGTCCTGGCAGCGGACCTTCCGGCATAAGCATCCTCCAAAGGTTACATTCCTTCCTTGAGAGAAGAGGTGCCAAGGAGGAGGGCTGGGCCCATGACAACCACAAAACCTGTATATGGTTTCTTGGTTTCTCATCTTTCTCATCTGGGTTTTGCAACAACCCTTCCATGGCTTCCACTGGCCAACATGGGCCCGGTTTAGTTTCCTCCTCAAACTCCGAGGTCCCTCCCCCAGCAAAGAAGGAAAGCTAATCTCTTCCACTCCAACTGGGCGTTTCTCTTCCTTAGGGCAGGTCACACAGCCACAGCGCAAACAGCTTCACAGCCTCATTCCAGTTTCCCTAATCTCCTTCTCACCTCCCCATCGGCAGGTCTGTGTCTGTGGAGGCCCTTTGGCGTTGGGCGCACGATGCCAACCCTGGAACCCAATGTTCGCTCCCTGATCTCTCCGCTGGGGATCGTCCGCTTCTTGGAGATCATCTTCTCTTGCATAGCCTTCAGCCTCGTATCAGTCCACCATGACTACTATAGCTCATACGGGACCTGGTCCATGTTCACATGGTGCTTCTGCTTCAGCATCTCCATCTTGGTGGTGGTCGTGGAGCTGGCCGGTTTGACCGAGTCCTTGCCTCTCTCTTGGCCAGACTTTACATCGGCCTTCTCCATGCTGGCCGCTCTCATGATCTTCACCACCTCCATCATCTACCCGTCGATCTTCATTCCCAACTGCTCCAACTGCAGCTACCGGGCCGCGGCGACAGCCATGTCCTGCTTCTGCTTCATCGCCTACGCCTTCGAAGTGGGATTGACGCGAGCCAAAGAGGGAGAGGTCAGCAGCTTCCTCGCAACAGTTCCCGGCCTCCTGAAGGTGTTTGAGGCCTATGTGGCGTGCCTCATCTTTTCCTTGGTGGCCGAGGGAGCGTACTATCAACATTTACCTGGCATGCAGTGGTGCCTGGCCGTCTACTCTATCTGCTTCATCATCACGTTGCTCATCATCATCCTCACAGTCGGACGTTGCCTCGCCTCCTTGCCCTTCCCCTTGGAGAAGGTCTTGGTGGGCTACAACATCTTGGCTGTCCTCATGTACCTGACGGCCGCCGTTGTATGGCCCATATATAGCTTTAGAGACTCCCCAAGGCCTTCTACATGTAACAATGGTCGATGCACCAGGTGGAACAACCTCCTAGGAGTGACCTTCCTGACCTACTTCAACCTCATTGCCTACATTGTGGATCTGGTGTACTCCTCCAAACTGGTTTTTGTGACCACGCCGGCTTAGTTTACTCACTCAGACAGAACTTGACCTCCTTAGAATAAACTTTATGCCTGGATACCAAGACCATCAGCAGCTTGCCTCTGGTGGGGTGCTGGTTTTTGAGATATCGTCAATGCTTTTAATCATTTTTATTGGTTTGATCTGGAAAATATTTCATCTACTGTTCTTTGGTTTGGGATTGCACTTTGTGGCTGGATCCTTTCCTCCTAAAAGCATAGCACTCTTTCCTTCTTCAGGCTTCCATGAATTATGTGCAACTCATAGAAATGGCACTGTAAGTTGATACTTCTAGTTTGCATTCCCTCCATTTGTCCCTGTTTGGCAGAGATGAATCCTCCGATGGATCCTCAGCTGTCCCCCTTTTTCACCTGCTTTTAAATGCCCCCCATTTCTCTCTCCTCTTCCCACTTTTCCCTTTAGTTCTTAATTCAATTCCTGAAAGCTGAGCTCTAAATGCAAAAACAGTCTTCCCTCAACTCAGAAAGGGAAAAGGAGAGGAGGAGTGGAGTCTTGCTTTTCCCAGTTGGCTCAGGCAAAAGCAAACTGCCGCAGCCTCTCCTAGCTTGCGTTTTCTTACTTATTCATGACTTTTGCTATTTTGATCACATTCTGATTTTGCTTGCTTTTGATTTTCACCTGTGAAATATTAGAGGATGTGACTTGGGCCCAGGAAAAAGGAAGATCCTGGAAACACCCTGGCTGCCAACGTTTCTGTGTCAACGGCTTTGAGCCAGAAAATGGCAGCTCTCCAAAGAAAAGGAAATGAGAGAGCTATTGCTGGAAAAGGAAAGAGATGGTCAGGATGGAGAATGGGGAAGGAACAACAGAGAAGAAGTGTAGTACATTTGGACTTGGACTTCAGCAAGGAGAACATATTCCCAACCTTTGCTCTCAGGTGGGGATGCAGATAACCATTTTCCACTCTCTTCTGCCTGAAATGCTTGCACCTTGCAGAATCGGAGCAGGGGAAAAGGACTTTTTCTTTCTTTCCGTAACTTTCAGGCAATGTAACCACTGGCCATTCTGGGAGTCTGAAGAAAGAAAGAAAGAAAGAAAGAAAGAAAGAAAGAAAGAAAGAAAGAAAGAAAGAAAGAAAATGCTTCTAAGTTCTGGGTTGAATTATTTTTGGGGTTTTGCAGAATTATAAAGTGACAGGACCCTGAAATTCTTTGCACTCTGTGGCAGTTGGGTCATTTGGTGTGTTCTGCTAAGGAATAAGAAAGATAGCACTTGTTAAGACGTGCATTTCTTAAAATAAACACACAGAGACAACAGATCCGTGAGCAAGTGTGGGGTAGAGGGTGACCTAGAGTTGAGGAAAGTTGTGGTTTTGGCAGGACAACCAGAGAGGCTCTTCGGCTTCCGCTCCTTCTCATTTGTCCTCTTTCTCTGGCCCCTATCCTCCAGGCTCCCAAAGGCAAACAAAAATGGCTGGCTCCCTTCCCAGTCTTGTCATAGCTCACTTACTCAATAAAGTAAAATGTTGAACAGACAATGAGCCCAAATGGTGTTGTGGTCTAAGCGTTGGACTAGGATTCTGGAGAACAGGGATCGAATCCCTGCTTGGCCATGGCAACCCCACTGGGTGACCTTGGGCATGTCACACTCTCTCAGCCTCAAAGGAAGGCAAGGGCAGACACCCCCACCCCCAGAACAAATCTTACCAAGAAAACCCCATGATAGGGTCAACTTAGGGTCTCCGTAAGTCGGAAATGAAATGAAGGCTCACAAAAACAAAATGATAGCTACGATGAGGAGCAACAAGGTGAGAAGGGAATGCCCACTCCCTAAATATATATATTCTCCAACAGTTTCAATCTGACAGGGACAGTACTGATTAATCCTTTGCCGTCCCACTTTTCCAGCAGCTTTTAAAATGTCCCAGGTTCCTCCCCCACTTCCCCCTTTGTCTTCAGCTTATTTCAACCACTGCAAACTGAGTTCAATGTATAAGTAGTTCTCACTCAACTCATTGAGAGGTGTGGAGAGGAAGGGACTGAATCTTAGACTTCCCAGTATGCTCAGTCAAAAGCAAACAGCTGCAGCCTCTCCTAGGTTTTCTTCTTCATTAATGGATTGACCACAGTCTGATGTTGCTTGGCCACACGTGCCCTGGTTTGCATAGGTGAAATATTGCAGGGTATGGAGATAATATAAATAATCTGTGTAGCTATAGCAAACCAAACCTCCATACACTGAGCATGTTGATCATTTCCATCATCACTTGATATAGACAACCTGACCCAAATTAAAAATATGTCCTAAGACCTCCTGAGCGAAGGAAGACCATCACCACCTACGGTACAGATTGATATTTCAATTTTATTGTAATCTTCATAATTTGTAATTTTATTGTAATTTTAATAATTCAATTGTATGAATTTTATTTTTATCATTTTTCATTTGTTATGGTTTATTACTATGTGTTTAACGTTGTTGTATTGTTCCCCTTTTATCTTTGTACTTCTGCCTTGATCCGCCGGGAGAGGTGGGATATATAAATAAATTATATTATTATTATTATTATTATTATTACACTGAAATAAGAGAGATCTGTTTGGGAGCAGTTGCATATTCTTCATAGTAACCAATTTTTTTTTAAAATAAAAAACTGTACAGGTTCAAATAAGCAACTTATATTTACATTCAGAAATGAGTTACGGCTTGCTAAATGTAATGTATACATGATTGGACAAAATGAAGGAGGTCCCTATGGGGATTTATTAAGGGATTGCAGGATTTAAGCAGAGCAAGGGAGGACAGAGGGTCTTCTTGGAGATCTCTCATCCAGAGGGTCACCATGGGTCCAGATCAGGGGTAGGCAACCTAAGGCCTGGGGGCCGGATGCGGCCCCCCAAGGCCTTTGGACCGGCCCCAGGCTGGTCCTGCCGCCGCCGCCGCTGCCTGCCATGATGATATTGATTATTGTTATTACTTGTTCTTGGGGTTTTCTTGGCAAAATCTCCATAGGGGTTTTGCCATGGCTTTTCTTGGGCTGAGAGAGTGTGCATGCATATTTTTTAATTTTTTAAAAAAAATATTTTTTATTTATTTATGGTGCTTCGGCCCCCCAATTGTCTGAAGGACAACAACCCGGCCCCCAGCTCAAAAAGGTTGCCTACGCCTGGTCCAGATCCACTAACTCCAGGGCAGTTAACAAGAAAAGACTCAACCTGTATTTCCGAGTATTGGCCACAAGGCGGCGCCCTCCCCCTTCCCTCTGTTGCCTTAATGGAAGCTCCCTTCGCAGAAACGGCCTTTCCATTGTGCAAAGAATCCTCCGCAGATGGCGTTCTAAAAGCGGAGCAGAAACAAAGGCAGATGAGCCCTTTGGATCCTGGGAAGAGAGCCTTGGTTGGACTGCAAGGCCCAGCAGCAGCAGCAGCAGCAGCAGCAGCCTTAGCCAGGATCAGCAGTGGTAGGGGATGATGGAGGTTGCAGTCCAATGACAGGGGCTCCAAAAGGGCAGGGAGGGCTCTCCAAATGTTGTTGAGCTGCTTGGTTGGTTGGTTGTTCTCAGCTTCTCTCCAGTTGCCAAAACCCATGGTGACCCTGGGGATGAAACATCTCCAAGAGCGCAAAGATCATAGCCCTGTTAGTCTGTGAAATCAGTACCTGCCGAGATCTTGTGGCACCTTTGAGACTTAAGTAAAAAGAAAGAAGTTGGCCGCATGAGCTTCCATAGACTTCAGTCTGCTTCCTAAGTCCAAATGCATCTGAGGAAGTAGACCAGGGGTAGGCAACCTTTCCCCTTTAAGGGCCGAGGGACTTCAGCTCCCAGAAGCCTCAGCCATGTTGGCCAATAGTCCCATATTGGCCAATAGCTCCTGGGATTCTGGGAGCTGAAGTCCCTCGGCCCTTAAAGGGGAAAGGTTGCCTATCCCTGAAGTAGACTGAAGTCTATGAAAACTCATGCGGCCAACTTCTTTTTACATAAGTCTCCAAGGTGCTACAAGACATCTCCAAGACAAGAGCTTCTCTCCTCTTCTGCGCTGCTCAGATCCTGCAAATTCGGGCCCTTGACTCCCTTGCATAAATCTGTCCATCTATGTAGAGAGCTCTTGTAGCACCTTGGAGATGAACTGAAAGGAAGATGTTGGCAGCATGAGTTTTCATGGGCTTCAGTCTACTTCTTCAGATGCGTTTGGTGCATTTCTTCAGACCTAATGCATCTCAAGGATCAGAAACGGTTTCAAGTGGGAACGACGGTCATACAACCCGATCAGCAATTTGCTTTAAATCATAGCAGGAAGGAGGCCTTAGGCGAATGTAACCGTGATGCTTAACAATTTGTTCTACCTTCCATTTAGAAAGCAGAGACAGGGAAGAGGGTTTGCAACGACCTGATGCCAACATTCTCCTTTTCATTCAATGGAAGAGTTTCCTGGGATGATTTTGTCCTATAGCAAACATATAGTTAGGAGGGAAGGCAATGGTGATGATCGTGATGGTGAGGCGGTCTTCTTTGTGACTGGATGGAGAAGAAAGATCTGCTGCCATGAAATCCCTTTTTCATTTGCTCTTCTTTTCAGGATGCTGCCTTTGCTTTGAGGAAGACTTGAGGTCCATTTTGGTAATCGAATTGTCTTTCATTAACCAAAGAAAAGATGAAGTCGGCAGCAAAAGTGATGACAGCTCATAGCTTGGTAATTTCTGCTATTGCAAAATGCTCCCTTGAATGTCCTTAAAAACAAGAAGCATCCGCTGGCGCAGAATGCGACCACTTGCTTCTCAAGGGCAACCCACTTGGTCTCCAGATTATTTCACAGTGCTGGAATATGTATATATATATATATATATATATATATATATATATATATATATATATATTGACCCATAAAAGTTAACCTGAGGAAGTGAATTCACCTGTAGACGCCTGCCAGGAATATCAGGTTGCTCTGTTTCAGATTTAAAACTTCTGGGAAAGCCAGACCGGTTGCATAAGATACAGGGCCTTTTCTGTTACGGGATTTTGTAGTTTTGTGACTTCCGTGGCACCTTTGAGACTAAGTAAAAAGAAAAAAGTTGGCCACATGAGCTTTCATAGACTTCAGTTTGCTTCCTAAGTCCAAATGCATCTGAGGAAGTAGACTGAAGTCTATGAATAACTGCATTATTTCTCTGGTGCAGATTAGACCCCAGGCTAGTAAACCAAACTGGAACTAGCCATTATATATAGAGCCAGGGACACTCAATGGCCAGCCTAGATCCGCTGACATGAGGGTAGAGAGGAAAAATGTTGTTGTTGTTGTGTGCCTTCACGTCATTTCCGAATTATGGCGACCCTAAGGGATTCTCTTGACAAGATTGGTTCAGAGGTGGTTTGCCACTGCCTTCTCCTGAGGCTGAGAGCATGTGACTACGCTGATGGCATAGCACAAGCTCCACCAAGCTGGTCTCCTCCAAATGTGTTGAACTGCAGCTCCCAGAAACCTGGCTGCAAGGTTCAGGGAGTTGCATTAGGGTTGCCATTGGTCCTGGGAAACCTGGAAAATCCCGGATGGATGTGACTAAAAAAATATCCTGGCCAGTTAGGCCAGTTGAAGCATAGATCTTGGATGTCTCCTGATGGATCGCTTGAAGCAGGAGACTGTGCAAGAAGACTGGTATTGGTGGGAGCCTCATCCTGCCCTGCAGCCTCAGGACCAATGCAGGTGCTGTGAGCGCCGGATCGGGGCTGTGGCAACCACACACCGTGACCCCAAATGCCACTCCATTTTGGGGCAGCAAAAAGCTGCCTTTAGTGCCTCCGCTGTGGCTCTTTTGAACCCCTTTGGCACAACATGTCTACACCCTGCACCAACGGGGCACCCTGAC